TTTTGAGTATCTTCCAAAGCGTAGAGACTCCACAATCTCTCTGGACCACCTTGGGTCCACTTTTGTCCTAAGGACACATTCCTGGACAATATTTTACTTGTTTTCCATTAAGACTCCCAGGTCTTTCTCTGCAAAGATACTCCTGAGCTCGTTGCCCTGTGCTTATGCTTAGGACTACGTCTCTCCAGGTGCAGGACTTTGCACTTTCCTCTTTGCCCTTTTCTCCTGCCTGTGGAGGTTCTGACTTCCTCAGACCCCGTTAGGGTCTGCAGACTTTTCTACAATTTGCTTAATTGTTCCCTACTGCATTCTCCTTCACCATGGGTAATTCTTCATTGCTGCAGGCTTCCCTTCAGGTCTCAGGGGCTTGAGATTCCTAAGGACTTACCATCAAAGGCTGAAGTGAAGAATACACTGAGGACCTCAACCTTTTGTGTCCTTTGTCACCAGGGCCCTGCCCTCTTGAGCAGCAGGACCACATTTTCCCTAGCCTCCTTTTGCTGTTTTTGCACTTTCTTGTTGCCTTTCACATCCCTTGCCAGTTCCAACTCCAGGCGGGCGTTAACTCTCCTAACTACATCCCTGTGTGCTTGGACCGTGTCTCTCTATTGACCATTTCATATGACCTTTCATGGGTCACCTCTTGTACGCTTCCTTTTTATGTCTGAGTTCATCCATGCAGGTTTCCTGCTGCCTTTGCTTGTTGTCCTTCTTGTTGGGATGAACCGTTCTTGAACTTGGAGGAGGCAATCCTTGAATATCAACCAGTTTTTCTGGAGTCTTCTTCCTTCCAGGGCTATATCATGTGAAATTGTTCCAAGCAGGTCTGTGAAAAGGCCAAAGTTTCCTCTCCTCAAGCCCAGGATTATAATCCTGTTTTTTGCCTTACTCCCTTTTTTCAGGATCCTGAACTCTGCCGTCACATGGTTGCTCACCTCCCCAAATCACATTCCTATGCTGTATTTAAGCGCTTCTTTTACATATTACTTTGCATGTAATATTACTGACAAAAATGCCCGCTGCTTTCTGTTTCTTAGCTGTATTAATCCTTCAGATCCTCAACATGGTTTGGCTTAATTCTCCCCTTACTGATACTAACTCTGCATTAGTTCTAAAGAGCCCAGTGGTGAGGGCAGGTGAAGTAGGAGGATCCGTTTTAGCTGCCTGAGGTAAGAGTCTGAATTTTTGTTGATTTTTTTGAAAGTTTCATTTCACTTTTGTAAACTTGAGAATCTTGGTATAGAATTCACTTTTAAATAGGTATATATAGAATTTTGTAGTGCCACAAAAGTGGTTGAATGAAGTCACACTTTAAGAATGGGGAGTGTTTCAGTCTTTAAAAGTCCACGCTGCGACATCAGGTGTTTTGGGTTAGTGTCCACTGCTGACTTAACAAAAATTTAATGTTGTTTTCCTTCTTTCTCTGATGCTGAATTCAGAGACTAGAGATTGTTATCAAGAACAGAGTGCACAGAGACTAGATCTTGGTTTGAATCGTATGTATTTAAGGCTTTTTCCCCCCCAGATGTATCTATTAATTGGGAAACTGAAACAAAAAGAAGAAAAAAAAAAAAGAAAGCTTTTGAAATAAACCAGATTCCTAATGGAATAAGCAAACTCCCTCCAGTGCATTTTCTCCCTCTATGTCAGCTTTTATAGCTCTGTTTCTGGCACTCATCTTTTGAGATTTCTTTAAAGATTGTTAAGAAATTTTCTCTTACATCAACAAACAACCCTCAGAGCCTGAGCAAAGCTGTAATAAAAAGCATCTTGCACAAAAGCCTTGGTAATTGGGGGAATAATAGAAGTTGTAGGGAGGGAAGTACAGGGCTGCTTTGCTTTGCAATATTATTTTGCTTTCTAAGATTTAACAAAATGTAAACTTGCATTTTGGGCATATAGGCAATACTTTTTCGGGAGAAAACAGTACTTGTGTAGGGTGTGTATTTGGAACAATTTTATTGATAACAGCAGCAGTTGCTGTTAGGTTGTTAGGACTGCATTTATTGATGTCACACTGTTATTAAATGCCTCTGTCTTGGATTCACCCAAATGGTTAGCTAGCACTCAATAAATGTTGAAGGACAAAATTTGAAGGTAGCACTTAAATGGTTCAGATAAGGCCATGGGAATTTGCCCTTGGCAATACTTAAAAAGCAGGGAGAGCACAGCAGTTGTATTCCTGAAGCTTTAAATGATAGCAAAAAAGCTTTTCAGGTTTTGACTTGCAAAAAGCTCATGGACTCACCTGCTCTTTTTTCCCCTTAAGGGAACATAGTGAACAGTAAGCTGGAAAATCTTCGTAATGAGTCTGGTTAAACTACCAACAAAATTCCTATCTGATAGCATATTGCACTGATGTACACAGCGAACCAGTTATGCTCTCCTAAGTCTCTTGTGTGAGCTCAATGACAATGCTGTGGTCCTTTCCCAAAATATTTCAAGGGTACATATGTGTATGTCTGTTGTGGAGGTATGTATTTGTACAGATCTGTGTGGAGGTTTCATGCTGTCTTTGGGACTAAAGGTAAAGGAAATACAAGATACACTTCTGGAACTTATAATCAGAGAAGGGAGCATGAAGCAAGTACTGAATGTGCTCATAAAGCAGAAGGTCTTCTGTTGTAGATTTTCAGTCTTTGAGCTTTTAAGTACAAGTTAAAAAATGTATTTTGGTAATTCAGTAGGCACCCAGAATGTCTAGGGTAGTCCCTGTTCACGGTTCACAGAGGGAATGCCAATTTTGAACTTTTGATCCAAATTGCCTAAGTAGGAAACTAAGAGCAGAGATTAACCACATTAGCTTGATGCTTTAATCACAGGGATTTTGGTGGAGTTTGGGGAAGTATCTGGGAATATTAAGTGCTCTCTCTCTCTCTCTCTTTGAGTAGCTATGAATAGTACCTGAAAATGAATGAATGAAAAACTAAACAAAAAGGAGAGAAATTCACATACATGCATTAGCGGGAGATATATCCAGTCCTGAGAACTTGTGTTAAATACTGAATGCATTCCCTTTTGTATTAGAGGCATGCTCCTCTTAAAGTCTCAGGGAAAGAACAAAAGAGTAAAAGGCTCCAAGTCTGCCACATTTTATGCACATGTTTAACTTCAGGCATGGTCCTTGGTTTTGGTGGTAATGTGAGGAAGGTCAAAGAGGTGGTAAGTCCTTGCAGAAACCAGTCTAGGGGACTGTTGTCTAAGTGGTCTTTGGAGTCCCTCCTTGTCTGCAAGAGTCTGATTTTGGTGGGATTTTTCTTTCTCCCAGCTGTAAATCTAAATTTCACAATGCCAAAGGATGCTAGATGCTTTCCAAATAACACGCCTCCATGCAATTGTTTGCAGTAACTGCCACTGGAGTGTTAGGAGACCTCGACAGAAAAAAAAAGAATGTCTGCAAAGTCCACTCTGTATTAAGATACAGTCTTTTCTCAAAATGATGTAAGTCCATGGGTTGAATCCAAGTGTCCATAGATGAGACTTAGATGCCTTGAAGAAAATGTGTTTTCCTGTCACCTTTTCAAATGCTGGGTTTCTGTTACAGAGAAATGGGATACAGAGAAGGGAGAGGGTAGGAACTGTGTGGTGTGGCTTTTTTCTTCTACAGAAAGGCCTCGAGCTCCCTTCAGCAGAACTAGTGATCTTGGGCACGTTGCTGGACTTTGTGTCTTTTTTTGTTTTTGTTTTTGTTTTTGTTTTTTTTTTCCCAAGAAGAGTTGTGCCTCTTTGCCTTGCAGACCTGCTCTGGAAATAGTCAATAGTCAATTCATGTGTCAAAGTTAGCGAAAATACAGTTGGCTTACAAACTCTGCCCACCCTTGTATTTGAGTAGATATGATAAATACAGTTCCGGGGGTGCCCTGCTTAGCCAGAGTCTGCGCGGTGATTGTGCTTTTTAAGGAGAGAGTTTTGTATGCTTCCCTGAAGTGTCTGAACATCAAAGTGGCATGAGAAGATACAAAATGGAGGAAATCTCACTGCCTCAAAGCTGTTATTGCATTCATATTATTTGTAACTATCTGGTAATGATCTGGTTCTCATGTTCATATTCTGAAGGTGCTTTTCTTCCTAAAAAATTTCTGTTAAGATCGATACCAAGAGCCCAGGGGTGGAATGGTTGAGTGTGGCTTTGGCATTCGTCTCGTCTACACTGGCCTCACCTTGTGTAGCTTATTGCCTAAGTTCCTCTGGCTCTCTGAAAGTACAGCCCATGGCATTTTCTTGCCTATCGACTATATCCCAGGTGCCTTCCAGTCTTTTATGTGCTGTTTTCCAGAACAGTTGGAAGAGCTGGGAGTAAGAACTGTGTTTCTTGATCGTTTGGGAATGTGGGAATGACTCTTAGGCAGCAAGAGCAGCACAGAGAAAAAAATATATATATTTTTTTAATCTTCAAAGCAATCTTTCCTAGTAGTAGAAGCCTTGAACTTCTGTATTTTGTGGGTTGACTGCTTTTGGAGTAACCATTAGCAGTAGTCAAAATGTCACGCAAACGTGGCACAGAGGCGCTGCAACCAGCTTCCAGGCATGCTGTGTCTTTGCCACTTACTTCTCTGGGCCGGTTCTTTCAATCAGCCTGAAGTTCACTTTAGCTGATGGGCTTTTTGAGTATGTTTGCAGAGGCACAGCCAGCCCCCTCTTAGGAAGTTGTTGTTAGTTAACCTGCTGAGTTGGGAGCCCCTGTCCTTCCTTTGCTGAGGTTGTTCTGCTGGCAAAGTTATGAGTGCCACTCAGTGCTTTTATAGCCACCACAAGGGTGAACGGTGCTTTCAGAATATACTGATTTACTGTTTAGAATATACTTGTCCTCCCTCACTCTGGTAAAAATGACTGTTTCATAAAAGAAAAAAGAAAGGAAGGAAAGGAGAAAAACCAACACGCATTAAAGTGTGGGATGGTGCTGTGCTAGGGATGGTGCTTGCGGGGCATCCCGCTCCAGTGTGGTGCTTTCTGTGCCACGTGCCGTTCCCTGAAATCCTGTGCTTTGCCTTCCAGATTCCGACCTGAGCATGCGGACACTGAGCACGCCCAGCCCAGCCTTAATATTCCCGCAGAATTCTCACAGCTTCCAGAATGGCAGAGGGTCCTCCACTTCCTCGTCCTCCGTCACTGGCGAGACGGTCGCCATGGTCCACTCGCCGCCGCCCACCCGCCTCACGCACCCTCTCATCCGCTTGGCCTCCAAGCACCAGAAGGAGCAGGCCCACGTAGACCGGCTGCCGGACCACGCCATGATCCACGTGTTCTCCTTCCTGCCCACCAACCAGCTGTGCCGCTGCGCCCGTGTGTGCCGCCGCTGGTACAACCTTGCCTGGGACCCGCGGCTCTGGAGGACTATCCGCCTCACGGGCGAGACCATCAACGTCGACAGGGCCCTGAAGGTGCTGACGCGGAGGCTCTGTCAGGACACCCCTAACGTATGTCTCATGTTGGAGACGGTAGTAGTTAGTGGCTGCAGGCGGCTCACCGACAGGGGACTCTACACCATTGCGCAGTGCTGCCCCGAGCTGCGAAGGCTGGAGGTGTCGGGCTGTTATAACATCTCCAACGAGGCAGTCTTCGATGTGGTGTCGCTGTGTCCCAACCTGGAGCACCTGGATGTGTCAGGTAACGGGCGATACTTAAGCACCCATGTGAGGAGGTGGCTGGGAGGCTGCTGCTAGCCCTGCTCCTGGTGCCACCTTCCTGAGTAGGACTCTCATAACACTCCAGTGGTATGCAAGGCATGACTATGCTCTCGGTACCCCAATGTCATTAGTACTCCCTGAGTGGGCCTCCTGGCTAGCAGGCTACCGCTTAAAAATAGTGAGGCACTTTCTATAGGTTTTTGCCCAAAGCACCCTTATGGAGGCCCAGGTTGCAGTCATTAGTGTATTGCTTAGTGAAGGTGACCTACTAGAGTAAAATTTGTTTTACTGTATATTTTTCTGTGCATTTATGATATGAAATGTGTATGTCTGTAATCTCATTTGATTAGTGGCTTGAGCAACAACTCACACTCAGTGCTAGACTTCTGTCTAGGTGCATATCATTTCTAGCTGAGCTTCATGGTCCTTAAATTTCCATTGCTTCTTTAACCGGACTTAGTGACCTAGGACTTGTCTGTGTGTGTGTATGCACAATGTATACGTTTCCTTAGAGACTTTCTTCTTTTTCAGCACAGTTATGTGTCAGTGTAGCTGGCTGAATGAACAGAAATGTATTGGACAGTTTTTGCCCTCAGATTCAGCTACATAGAATTTCCCCTCTGCAAATAGATTGGCGCTTAATTGAAAGGATGCATCTAAGCAGAGCACTCAAGTATATTTGGCATTTAGTTCATATTTTGTGGTTTCAGTGTGTTCCCAGTCTAATGTGTTGCTAATCAAGTGTCCAAAGTTTGCCCTTGCAGAGGTGTCCTGATGACTGCACAGCACACAGGACAAAGTGGGGATGGAAAGAGATCCTGTTGAGTCACTGTAACTTGTATGAACACATCAACTGATTTTTCCAAGGCTATGTAACTTTTTTTTTCTCCCTCTCTCCTTAGCAATCCTTGCTTTGGAACAAATGAGACAAAAATTCTCCTTTTGAATGATATCAAATGAGCATGTGTGGCTTCAGAGATGGCTTTTAGAGCATATGCCTGTGTATGAATTTCATTTCATGAAAGACCCTGCAAATTTTGGGGCCTTGATCTGAGCCCACTTGTAGTTCTAATGTGGGTAATTTTTGAGAATGCTTTCGAAACAGGATCCCATTTTCCCCCCTCCTTCTGTCTGATGAAATAAAATATGTAAAAATGGTTTTCACTTCTTTTCAGTTGGACTCTGTTTTTTTTTTTTTTTTGAAGGGCTGCTGGGAAGTTTGCCAGTGTGTGTAATAGCGATCCGGCAGTAACATTATTGTTCTTGTATTTCGCATACGATGCTCTACTTACTGGCATGCTCAAAGGGAGAGGAAATGAACAGAGCTAAACAACTGAATGCTCTCTGATGGGGCCAGAAATGACCTCAGTTATTTGTAGCAAATCCTAGGTTGTTGCATATGAAGCTTTGTCTTTGGATAAAGAATGTATCTGATTGTTGTATGTGTCCCAAGGATTTGTTTAACATCACAAGATTTTGCTCCTGGAAGCTGCTGCCCATGTGAAATGTGGAGTTCACTCTTTAAAAAATCTGGTATCCACAGGAACCAATTTAATCCTTCCGGTTATTTCCTATTCCTTTCTTTCCTACTGCAAGGGCAAGACATGCCGGCTGTGAACATGATGGTCTTCAGTGAGCAAGGTCTCTTGGAGTCCTACCAGAAAAGCATCTCAGCTCAATAACACATTGTAGGATCAGTAGGGAAAAGACATCTCATAACACAGGAAAGCACAGGAAAGCTAGATCCAGCAAAGATTTTGTGAAAGGAAGAGAGAGTCTGGCAGAGAAAGAAAGTATAACTGGTTTGGTGGACAACATCTCAGAGGCTGGGGCAGGAGAAAACCGTAGTCAAGCAGCTGATGATTCTGTTGTGCACACCCAAACTTTGTCGTTAAACCTCACTTTGTCCATCTCCAGGGTGTTTCCTATAGAAGTGAGTTTTATTGCTGTTGTCTTCACTCTCCCCCATCTCTCCACTTTCTCAAATGGAAGGGAAGAATAAGGCTTGGATCTCATGTAGGAATGCTGCTTGGACCTGAAGTGGTCTCTTGGTCAGGTATCTCATCAAGCAAGAAAAGTTGGGCACATGTGTTGGAGGATAACACTGTACTTACAGCTATTTAATTAAAACCCAGTTTCTCATTTGTACATCTCTTTGAATCCCTCTCTTTCCTGCTCTCTAAGACTTGGCAGCGATAACATCAGAATCTTTAATGGCAGAAGCAGACGCTCGTATTAACTTCCCAACTTTTCCACAGCATAAATTCTCTTTACTCTCAGCATCTACTTTGTGGGCAGCCCTGAGGTATCCCTAGAAGCTGGTTGAGCTTGACTTCAAGTTATTATTTAACATGCTAGCCAGCATTTTTTTTAAATCTTTTGGAAGTTGATCCTCCCTTTCAAAATCAGTTACATTTCCTTTATGGAAAATCCAACTACAAGAGTTTTGTTTTTACATTTTGATTATGTGGGGCAGAGAGGCAGAGAAGTCCTTACAGACCTAGAAAACTGTCATTTTTGCCTAAAAAAAAATAGTTTCTTATTTGTTTTAATCAACATGGACACTTTCCTGGTACAACTATTTTGACTAGCCTTCCCATGAAATGTTTTACATTGTAGCTGAAATAACTAGTCAAGGGCAGTCAAGGATGCTGCCCTTGTCAAAACAGTTGCACACTCATGTACACAGGCTGCAAACCTTCTGTGAAATTTGTGACCCTCTCACATTTTAATTTCAGTCATTAAAGCATTCCTCTCCTCCTTAAATCTTCAGTAAACAACCTATTCTTCTCTGCCTCATCAATCCTTCATTCTCATTTAACCATGTTTTAAGAATTCGTTCTGAACAACATGAAGAATATTGATACAGGTTCCTTAATCTGACAACTCCTTTATGCAAGTGCAAGAGCAACAGCCGTGTCAGGTCTTGGAGAAGTCAACAGAACCCTGCCTAGGTGCCAGCTTCTGTGTCGAGAGCTCAACTCAAGGATGGGGACTCCTGTTGAGTATTTTGTATTGCCTTTTCCAAAGCATGTAATAGACATGAAATCCTACACCAGCAAAGCTGAATTATATTCTTTCCCTTTAGAAAAATCACCTTGCATTTTTGAGCCTCTATGTAGTTTTTATTTGAAGGCAAACATATTGCCAAAAATCCCACTATGAGGGTAGATGGATCTGCAACCCAATCTGAAGAGGAAATAGTAGTAGTCCGTTTTAAGAAGAGATTGTACATTGAACAAAGTCCTTAGGTTCAAGGTTCCCAAGCTTCTCCAGGACCTGTGGACAACATGCCAGTTTCATTTTGTGTAAGGCTTAAGGTAAACTTTGCATCTATTCCAATACAGTGAAAGCCTAAATTAAAATTCCAGTAGCAAACCCTGATGACGCATGTAGGAATCTAATTGCAAGTGCAAACTATTTCAAGGCCCTACTCCAGGCTTCTGAGGGCCTGCTGGTTAATCTCACTTTTTTTTTCTTTCAGTTTTTAAGAAGTGAAACATACTCACACTTGCCACTAAGCTTGTAGATAACAATTTGATGTGTCTTTGAGAGAGTTTTCATGCAAAGATCATCATGCTCTTTATTTCCAGACTTCCTGCCAACTCTAAGGTTGTCATCTTAGCTTTCAATTGATTTTTCTTCCTTTTTTTTTTTTTTTTTTTTTTTTTTTTTTTTTTTTTTTTTTTTTGGTAGCACTTGTGTTTTGGTGTACTTTTCCTAGGGTACGGGTCACTTCATCTCTTCCTTGTTGTCAAGTGTTTCCAGCAACATGGAAAAGCTCCTTTTCATATCTGAGGGCAGGCCTTTAGGCATGTGCTGCAGAATTTGTCTGAGTGAACATTTACCGCTGAAAACACTGGTCAGGACCACAGGCTGGTAGATCTCCCCATCTTCCCTGCAGCCACTTCTAGTTGACCTAATGCATGGTTGAACATGACACAGGTAAGACCTTCAGGATCCTCAGATCACAGGTTTGCTGTGGAGCAGAAGGAGCCCTTCCAGAAAAAGCTTTCGTTCACCACCATGCACAGGGCAGAGGTTAAATGGAAAAAGTCTGTGAGCTTGTTTTTCTCTTTAATCTATCTCTTGTCTTCCAAGGTTGGTCTGTCTCTTGTAGTCTAGCTTCCTCCATTTGTAGACAGGCCTTCTTACTTAAAATAGTCCCTTTCCATCTATGTGAATGTCCTCCCATGCCCTTACCAGTGTATTGGTTCCTGATGACTCTCCATTCTGTTTAGATTTCCCAAATTCCCTCCCTTCTGCAAACACAGCCTTGCCATACTTTTGTTTCATTCCTAAATGGCAGGCTTGGGGCAGAATAAACATCTGTTCCACAGATGCTTTTTGGAGAGAGAGAGTGAGATTTGTCTTTTCCATGATGGGGTTTGATGGTGAAACAGCCTCAGATGTTGTCTGATGTCCTCAATGAGGCTGCCTCTGCTCATAAAGGCTATGTTGGTTGTCCTGTAGCACCATTTTCTCCAATCATCACCGTGTTAATTTTGCAGAAAAGAATTAGACTGTCCCTGGATAAACCTAGGACCATCATTTCAGATTTGGGATGTTGACAGAACTGTTCTGTTGTTTTGCTGGTGCTCAAAATCCCAAAGCAACCTCAGTTGCTCCAGTGGAGTCAGTTAATATTTTACAGGTGTAGGGACACATCCCAGCAAATCCAGGCTATTCAATCAGGGTGTTTCTTCTCTTGCAAAGTGAAGAGGTCTGCATCACCTCAAACATGCAATTTCATCCCTGTCCTTCCAGTCGAGTGTTTCTTGTTGTTAAAATTTGCTGTGTGTTTCCACCTAGGCTGCTCCAAAGTGACGTGCATCAGTTTGACTCGCGAGGCCTCCATCAAGCTGTCTCCCTTGCACGGCAAGCAGATCTCCATCCGCTACCTGGACATGACAGATTGCTTCGTCCTGGAGGACGAGGGACTGCACACCATTGCGGCGCACTGCACTCAGCTGACTCACCTGTACCTGCGCCGCTGCGTCCGCATCACCGACGAGGGTCTCCGCTACCTGATGATTTACTGCACATCCATTAAAGAACTGAGTGTGAGCGACTGCCGCTTCGTCAGTGACTTCGGCCTGCGGGAGATTGCCAAGCTGGAGTCGCGCCTGCGGTACCTCAGCATCGCTCACTGCGGGCGCATCACGGACGTGGGCCTGCGTTACATTGCCAAATACTGCAGCAAGCTGCGCTACCTCAACGCGCGGGGCTGCGAGGGTATCACGGACCACGGCGTGGAGTACCTCGCCAAAAATTGCACAAAACTGAAGTCACTAGATATCGGCAAGTGCCCGCTGGTCTCAGACACCGGCCTGGAGTTTCTAGCCCTCAACTGCTTCAACCTGAAGCGCCTGAGCTTGAAATCCTGCGAGAGCATCACTGGGCAGGGCCTGCAGATTGTAGCTGCCAACTGCTTTGACCTGCAGATGTTGAATGTGCAGGACTGTGAGGTCTCCGTGGATGCTCTGCGGTTTGTTAAACGGCATTGCAAGCGCTGTATTATAGAGCACACCAATCCTGCCTTCTTCTGAACGGACACCCCACGGCTGTTGTTATCACACAGTATTAAAAACACTGATGTATAAACACACAATCCCATACTTGGTAATGCTGTCCTTTCTCTGGCTCGCAGGAGTCAGCTTTCCTTGTTTGTTGTTGGCGAGGGTGTTTCTGGAGGACTATTTTGTTTGCTTTTTATATGATCACTTTTTAAGGTGCGGTGGGCCTCTATGGAGAGGCTGCCTTAATTCAAAAGCAGTGAGTGCTCAGTATCCCCACTGTGATGCCTATTCTATAACAGCCCTGCCTGATCTTGTCCCAGGCTGAAGTAGCTGACTCTAAAGGGAATAGCACATAATCCCTCCTTTGGAAATGTTACTAAGCTGTGTCAAATATGTCTTAATTCCAGCAGTGCTCATGAATCTGACTATGCAATATATGTCGTGTTCCCCAACTTGTAATAAGGCTCATAAAGCTACCCCTTATCTCCATGTACTTTCTTCTTGGTGGTCATGTAATTCCTCAGGAAATACTGGCAGGTCTTCAAATTTATCTGCCTGGGATACAATTGGATGTATCCCAGGATACATGAGGATGAGCAGCAGGCTATCACCAAGGGCTCTGCCGGGTGAATCTGGAGAATGTGCCCGTGCATGGTTTCCATTGGGGAGCCCTCTTCCAACTCGCTCATGCATCGCCCCCTGTCAGTTCTGCATGAGCCCCCTCCTGCATGTGTAGTACCACCCTCCGGTAGCTGGCAAGGACATCTGGGTCTTGTAAGCAGTGACATCTTCACTTAAGAGAAGGAAAACAGGTGAGAGCTTGGGTGGCCTGGCAAAGGGAAAGGCCAGCAGATTGGCCTGAGAAGCCTTTGCATTTCTGCAACAAGCCAAGCTAGAGCTGTGGTCCTCCAGGGACTCTGATGGGTTATGGGATGGTTTTGTGGGGGAGTGCCAGCTGCTGTGCTGCCCTGCTGGCACCATGAGATCTGTCTACCTGCCTTCACGGTGCCTCCTCAGCAGGCACTGGGCTGACCTCATTCATTGAGGTGTGTTCAACATGTGCCTTAAAACATGACCCTTTGCTGTGGCCTTCCAGTTTAAAGGACGGATGGCTGATCTCAAGGCTTCAAAGACATTAGCTTGACATGGGATCATGCTCGTGGGGAAAGAGAAGGGCTTAGGATGGATGATATTCACATTAGATATAGAGTTTTGTGAAACATTTTGTGCGTTGATGTGAGTTCCTTAAACCTCAAGATCCTTAAGCGTTCCTGGAGAAACAGCTGCTGTTCAACAAGGAATTAAAACATTGGCTTTGCCCTGCGATGCTGGAAGCCCTTGGTAGCCTCACAGTCGCCTTGTGCTCAGGCAGGTGGCTTGGAGGTTCTCCCGTTGCGTTGCCTCCTTGCCCAGAGCGTGTGGTCATTTTGTACTCGCTTCCTTCCCCCTCTCCTGGCAGCTCTTTCCTCTGTGTTTCCTCGTGTAATGCTCCAATCTGAAGGCCAGGCATGTTTGGAGAGATGTTGTCCTTAGCCAGGCCCCCTGCTTGTAACTGGCAGGTGAATTTGTACGTCCAACTCCCATGCTATAAATGTCTTGGTGCAGGATGTGAGAAGGGAAGCTTCATGTCTGGTTTACCTAAGCCACGGTTCCATCGTCTCCAGAGAATGCTAATAAAGTCATTGATAACAAGTAAAAATCCATATGCTTAAGAAAAAAAGAAATGTAATTTCTGAGGAAATATCTGTAGCAAAACATTCTCAAATTACAGTAATAATAATGCTTTTGCACATCCTGGCAACAGGAACTTGTCCTCTTGTACAAAAAGGTCCTGTAGCTTGTGTGTATTTCTCCAGTTGTGATTTTCATAACAAGTGTCATCAGCTCTGAATTATAAGCAATGTATAAAGAGAGCCAAGGAAAATTGATTTTTTATTGCTACTACTGGTCAGTGCCTAATGAGGGTGATACCATCTTTCAACCAGTTAGCATCACTGTGGTTTCCCTTTTTGTCTTTTTAAAATTGGAGATTTTCTTGAGCATGCAGGACTTCTTTATCTTTTATCTCAAAAAGGCCCCAAGAATAGTTAAATGTTAAATCCACTCCTGAGGGTGGTACGATTTTGAGCCATTTGCACTCATGAAATATGTCTTATTAGTAACATTTAACTGTTTATTAAAATTTTAAAAAGCTACTTCTCTGGCTACGCTAAATTGAATGAATAGTGCTACGTGGTTTCTAAGGTTTTTAATGTTTAAATTGGCCTGTACTGTACAAATCTCACTATAAAGCCTTAATTTACTACCAAGAAATAAAGCAATATATTGGTAACTGATGAGCATGCATGGTCATTTAATCACCAAGTGATTAGCTTCTGGCCAAGACAAATGGGAAGATATATTTGTAGAGCTTTGTTTTCTTGAGACTAGGTAGGTGAATGAGCACATCATCGCATGAGGTAGGTGAATGACTATAAAAATGATTTATTGTAGGTTATGACCTTGTACATCTGTCACCATATGATTTGTTTTTCCTTATGTGATTCTTCTTGATTTTAAAGCCTAACGGCTACCTGGAAATGTATGTAAAAGAAAAGCCAGTATCTAAAAGGTATATGTATAAGAAATTCAGGAAGGGCGTCTACATTGATTTAAAGGCAAGTTAATGAATTTGATGTGAAATGTAAAATGGAACAACTGAAAGACTGGAGTACTTACTGAGTGTAATATTCCTTTTTGAATGTTTTAAAAAATCCACTCTGGGGTCACTAGTAGAAATTGAATAAAGGTAATTTTTTTAAGCCACACATTTTTAAGTATATGATCTTACAGTCTTACATGATCTCTTTTGGCACTCTGAAACTGCCACTTATTTCAAGAAAACTTGAATTTAACTTACTGATACAGCTAGCTCGTATTGACTTTTAACCTTTTTCCTATGGCTGCTTGCAAACTCATGTGGCAAGAAAAAAAAAATCAAAGTAGTGCATGTAGAGCTGGGTTTACTAGAGAGTTTGCAATATGCAGGTGATGTGCCTTCCTTCCAGTTTGCCTTTGACAGAGACTGCAAGTTGCCCAAGAGAAAATGTTGTTGATTTTTGAACTGTAAAACTCAGGCCCAAGCACTGAGGTTTCTTCCTCTCCTCAGAGAGGCGAACCAGGAATCATGTTGGGTTGGTCTGCTGCATCTTTAGGGTAGATGTGCAGTGTAGAAGGAGGCCTCCTAGAGAGGTGCATCTAAACCAGTATGCCCTTGGGTCACAGACAAAGATCTGTATCTACCTTCCTCATCTGTTGAATTTTGGTAAAAAATGGAGCTATGTTTCCTGTATCGTGAAGTCAATGCAAAGTGTAACTTTTTGCCTTTTTTACTGTTGCTCATTTGACTTACTAGAAAATGTAAATCAGCTTCTGCTGGAATGATGTCAAAACCATCACCCATATCATAATCTTCCAGCAGCAGCTTACGCAGTTTCTGAAATTGTCTAGCCTTTGAGCTGGAAAATTAAAAAAACAGTAAAAGACCCAAGTTTAGCACTAAAAGACCTAAGTTTAGCACTAGCCTTGAAACAGGTCCAAACTCTCATTAAAAGGAAACAAAGCGACCATTTTGACTGTAGACTGACTGCCCTGTAGCTTTCAGCATTAGTTTAAAAGGGAAAAAAAAATCTATGACAGAGTTGGTAGCATAGATTCTTTTTCCTCGAAGTTTCCCAGAAAAATATCTTGCTTCTAGTTTTTTATAATTTTGCAGAATTTAACTGTGGACTGAAACTTCCCATGCTGGGCTTGGAAAATGTGAGGTGAAGTGGTTCGTGTAGTTCTGTAAATAAAGCTGCGAGGAAAATTCATTTTGCTCATGTTTAACTACTGGTGACCTTCCTCTTTGAAGAAGATTTGTTGCCCTCCATCTCCCTCCAAGGTGTTCCGAGTGGAAATGCGAGCCCCATCTGGAGCTCAGCTCCAAGACGAGGAGGCATCTTACTGAGATTCCTGTCAAGGTGCATCCAAATTTAGTCTGGCTGTCTTTGAACATCTCGAAGGCCATGGTCAGAAGGAAACGAGGTTGGAATCCAAAAATAAAAACCTTCAAAAATTGTATCTGTTGGGCATGCTTATGACTCTCGAAGTTTGTAGTCTGGCAAGATTGGGATTGGACAAATTTCAGAGGTGCTTGTTGTTCTTGTAATGTGAAGGAGGGAATGATTATAGAGTTGCATTGAGGTTGCACATGGAATCAGGACAGGGGAGAGATGACGGGTGGAGGATTGGAGCAACTGGTAAAAGAGTCAAGGATGAAGGAAAGTTCTTGGGCTTCCTGGGCTAGGAAATAGGCATGGAAAGAAGAGATTGGAGCTTTGATTTTTAGTTTTTCGAAGCAAAAAATAGGAGAGAGAGATTTGTATGTGCAGTTGGAGAGCTAGGCCAGAGTGGGGAAAGTCAAGTGTTGAAGAAGGGTTTTTGCGGTGGTGGTAGCACATGGAAAAGGAGTTCTATGATATGTAAATAAGCACATCCCCTGCAGGGAAAGCTCAGGGAAGGGGTGTTTCTGTGAGTGCGTCTCACAGAGTTGAAATAGTCTGTCAAAAATGATAGGGGAACTTTGAATTTAAGGCATCCAGGACCTGCCCTGTTTCATGTCATGTGAGGTGGGACAAGCTTTACAGACAGAGCTCTGTCTTCACTAGCCCAAATACATCAGCGTCCGAGGACTGGCAGTGTCAGGGTTTTGCTCCTTCCTTTACACCTTTGCACCAGGCAGTCTATGAGAAGCACAAGGCAGGGCAGGTTGGTAAAATGCTGCTTCTTTTTGCCTTATGTTTCAGCAGCAACAGCACTTCTGTTCTGCTGAAGTGCAGCCATAAGGACCTGCAGTCAAATTCATGTCCCTGTGGCTGCTAAAGGGCCTAATAGTAGGTTCAAGTTACTGCCAGGCAGTAGACATCAGAACTCAAATCTAGTGTAATAAAAATACGTTTAGCTGAGCTGCATTACTGTGTAAGCTATTGCACAGATTAAATCAATTTTCTCCATAAAATAGTTGAGGGTTGTTTATTTTCTTGCACCCCTGCTGTATAAATGTGTGCTTCAGAGCAGGGTTTTTTTCAGTCTTGTGTGAGAACTGGACAGAAATGTCAGGTCATTTTTTTCCTTGTCCTCTGAATGATCAGAGAGGCACGTCTTATATTTACACTGGTTAATGGAAATCTTTTCCAAGTGGGCTCTACTAATACAAATTAAAAAAAAAATATTATGAGTGCAACAATCCAGTTGGCAATAGATATATCAAATTAAGCCACTATAAATATAAAAGTTGCTAAGCAGACACTGTAAAGAGAGACCAGAAGGAAGGATTTTTCAGAAAAAAAAAAGAAAAAAGAATTTTTATAGATGACCCTGATACTTTTAATGTGAAACAGAAATCTTAACTATTACTTCTAGGGCTAAAGATACTGTGTTTGTTGGCATAGAATAAATTAATTTTCCTT